TGCGATCCTACTTTATCGGTTCTTGTCATGTTGGTGTCTCGAAACGTTTTTCACGTAGTATCAGCCTTGCAGTCTATTGTTTGTCTTCATACAATTTTTTGGCTGATCAGATCTCTTGTAGATCCTACGTTGGCAGCGTTTATCGTATGCGGTCCCTTGCAGTTTCTGGTTTCGTTTTTCCCACTCCGCGTGTGGCAGGCATTAAAAGGCGTGGGAGAGGGAGAAACTAGAAGCGCGAAGCGCGATCGACCGCTTCTATCTTCTAGTTTCCATGTTTCCCTCCCATTCTAACGCCTGCCACGCAGACTACTACACTCCACATAGTGTGCCCATCCCACACATTTTCTGGTGTATTTCGCTCTCCCTCGTGCACGACACTGTCTCTGAGGCTCTCTCTTCATTCTTAAATGTCATTTCCTTTCTGAATCCATTGCTGAACATGTGTAGCTGCCTTTTTACAAACAATGTTCACAACAGCTGCTTTTGTCTCGATAGTCTAACATGTATGGCATAGCACTTTATAGAGTTCACGATTTCAAAGTATTGGCGTGCTAGATTTATTTACCTGCTTGTCATTTTTGCTTTCAAAGACATTATGCTATTAAAATTGGAGTGGATCTTTTTTTATTGAACAGTCCATTTTGCTTGCTACAGGCTTAAACTACGACCACGAATGCTACGGAACGTTGCCGAACAAGACATTTCTGTCACAGTCCTGGGTCAGAAGCTAAGCATGCCAATCTGTGTCTCACCCACTGCGTTCCAGGCAATGGCGCATCCAGACGGAGAGCTGGCCACAGTCAGAGGTAAGATTGAAATGGTTACACTGATTTGTGGTGCTTGTCGGTTATGGATATAGTGCTGTATAGTACCGTTAATCCTCGAATTAGTGCCCCATTAGAATAAGCGCCCCCGAATATCAGCTGAAATTAGAAATAAGTGCCTCTCGAGTTAGCCTCCCCTCCCCCGTTTTTTACGATAACAGTTTCCAAGGTTGAGTATAGTGCTGATCATGTTTAATGAAATCATATTTCACAATCATTGGTATTTTTGTTCACTACATCATTACAATACAAGAAACCAGTTTCTCCATGAGAGCGAGGATTCTTCTGAAGGACTGATTGGCTGCCGCTGAAGAGATTCACACCATCATCGACATGGTTAAGGATGACGGACGGAGACCGTAAGCGCGTGCCATTTCTAGTTTTTACAATAACTGTCTAATTTCTCGCCCGCTGATTGGCTCATTTTTATCATCAATAAGAAAACAGACGGATAAAATTTTAATTTATGAAAGCTTTCAAGTTCAACTTTCAGCTGTCAAACTGTCACCTTTTTAACCAATGAGATTTTGTGGACTTTATGGTAGCCGATCAAAAAGCGAGAAAAGCTATTGACAATGTTCGCGTCATTTTGAATAAAATTCACTTATCTTTGTTTACGGCAARTTTACGGCGTCTTTTCCCTCATTTATTCCCAGCATTTAACCATTTTGGGGTCTTGTTATTGTGAAAAACAAATTGACGTCGGTTTTTTTATGCGTCTGTACTCTTATTGATGATAAATTTCATCATAACATTGTCAAAGTTTGCTGCGGAACCACTCGCCTGCGGCTTGTAGTTCCACAGCCACTTTGACAATGTTATGACGCAATTTATCATCAATAAGAGGACAGACGCATAAAAAACCGACGTCAATTTGTTAAATTGGGGCTGTCCCTATGATATGGGACAATTTTTCTATTTTTAGAACAAATTGCGCCATCGTGTGCGGCACACGCGCGTTCATGCTGCGAGGATTTTTGCGCGGGGTAGCGCGGGGAAATCGCGTCCGAAATTCCCGAAATGTTTGATACTTTTGGCGCACAACTCAATACGTTTATGTCTGTTGGAATTTTGCTTCAGTATTTTCGTCGTAAGCTGCTCCAGTTTGAGTGAAGTAATATTTATATTACTGAGGGAGTTGGGTTCCGCTGCTTCTTTTACAAGAGCTTCACATTACTCCACTCAAAGTTTCAGATATGTTAAAGATTAACAGCTTTTCCATAACACAGCAAAAAACTAGTGGGATATATTTGGATATAGCAGCGTTTCAGGACTTCAAAGTTTCCCTCCTCTTGCCTCTCGCGTACGCTAGCGAGGATTTCGCCAGAGTATATCTCGACCGAAAAGTAAAAACAAAAATAATTGCAAGTTGGAGTTTCGCCTGAATTGTAAGCAACGTTTGATGTTTCATCCAGGCCCCAATAAGTTTATGTCTGTAGATGCTGCTCAGTTTTGTAAAAATCCAACAAATTGTCCGTTGTCGATTAATAAGAGCGCCCGCCGATGCGTGTTTTGTACAGTCAGTAAAACATGACAAATTGGACTTCCGCAGTTTCGTGTGAAAACGTACATCGAACTCATATAATATCTCTAGATTTTAAATATGTTTAAGGTTGATAACTGTTTGAGGACATATAAAAAGCTTAGCTGACAATATGTGAATACAGCAGAAATAATCAGCAAAGTTACGATGACTCGAATAACGATTTCGATTTTGTTGGTTGAGTTATCAGAACTCCTTATCTATTTTATTTTCGCAGTGTAAAATTTCACTATGTTAAAGAAACACATATGATGTTAGTAGCCTTTTTTGGCGTTGGTGAAAATTGTTGCAGCATCTCAGCACAAAAGACAACGAAAGAAATCTTTGTCAAGATTTGTTGAAAACACCAACTCGGACTTGAAAGTACACCCGCTGCACTGCACCATGCAAATGAGCTACTTGTGCGCGTCACACTTATCTTTCAAAAACTTTTGCAAACTCACCAAACAAGCAGAAACAATAGGAAACTATCGAAAACAGGTTTTGGTTTTGATTAAACATTGTTTGGGAAACTCATAAATTAACTCGATACCAGTGTAAATAGTCTTCTTACATAACTTTTCTTTACAGAACAAACGCAAAAGCTTACGCGGTACAACTAGCGCGAGCAGATATTGAACAATTATTGGATAAGGTTTTTGTGATATCCAGAATAATCATGGCCGAAGCCGAAGGCTGAGGCTGATAACCCTTACCGAGACCTTGATTATTCTGGATACCGCAAAAACCGAATCTAATAATTGTTTTATTATACATTGAACGGAAAAAAAATGGAAGTCATGTTTTGGCTTCTTCACTGACGGCAAGCAACACAAAGCGCGCGAACTTGACATGATTAACCTTANATTTTGAAATCGCACAATTTTATCGCCTTAAATTTTAGATTTTGGTGTATTGTTTTTCTGTCCCATTCTCATTGGCTGAGAAAAAGATGCAATTTAGAGCAAAACATAGCGCAATTCGTGAATAAATCGCACCACTGAGAGCCAATCAGATTGCAAGGATAACCAGTGATTTCAAAATGGATTTAATAAAAAGAAAAATTGTCCCATATCATAGGTGCGCGCGGATCCCAAGACTTACGGCAGGGCGGGAAAAGGCCGTATAAGCGCCTTGCTTACGGTCTCCGTCCCCGATTATGGGTCCTGTTGATATCTAATACGCGCATTTGTTGAAAGCTAGTGCGTTTTTCAGTTTGTGATCTACTTAGTACATAGACTACTTTGTATTCCAGTACCAATAGGTTATATTGATGAGCAAATGTTATACCGTATAACTGAACATTTTTAATATGCGCCCTCGAGTAGGCGCCCACGATTTCCAGCCGCTGGGACTCGGCCGGACCCGAGAGAGCGGCAGAAATCGAGCCTACCTGGGATTCATGCGAAAAAAAAACCAACAAAAGACAGTTTGACTGAAAAACGTCCTTGTTGATATTGCGTGTTGTTTCGTTTACCTTTCAGCGGTGAATTCCATGGATACAGCTATGGGTCTGAGTATATACTCTACATACAGTCTGGAGGATGTCGCGCGGGAGTCCCCGAACACTATCAAGTTTATGCAGATGCAGTTTTACACAGATCGCCAGCTGATGGTGGAGGTGTTAAAGAGAGCTGAAAAAGCAGGCTTCAAAGCTGTTTTACTTACAGTTGACATTCCAGTCTATGGCCAACATAGAAAGAGAGCGAATTTCTTTCTTCCCGAGCACTTGAAGTTTGCGAATTTCCTGTCTTTGAAAAAGAAGAAAGGACTTCGAAATAACAGAGAGCTGAATAAATATATAAGTGATACCGCCGATAGCAGCGTTGATTGGGAGACGTTTGATTGGCTTCGTTCCACCACGTCACTTCCGTTTGTCGTCAAGGGAATATTGACGGCAGAGGATGCTCACCTCGCTGTACAACATGGGGCCCAAGGGATCATGGTGTCTAATCATGGAGGGCGGCAGTTAGATTGTGTCCCGGCCACTGTATGTGTACTAATTGTAAAGCTTTCCCAGTTTCTTGTTATTATTGTGAAATAGTAACGATCACAATGAATCCTTTAAAACTGTTTTGACAGATTGAAGCGTTACCCGAGATAGTGGAGGCGGTCCGAGGAACTGGAGTCGAAGTGTATATGGACGGTGGCGTGAGACTGGGAACTGATGCTCTTAAGGCCCTTGCTCTGAGAGCTCGGGCAGTGTTTGTTGGACGGCCAGTCATCTGGGGACTTACTTACAAGGTAGAAAAGTAATGAAATGTTTTTTAAATGAAAATATACAGCTAAAAGGCACGTGCAATTATGTAGTTATTTTGTTTTTTAGTTACATAGAATTAATGCTTTTTACACGTCACATGTATTTTAGTTGCATAGATTTAAAAAATATTTGTCACAATTAGATTTAAGAGAATTTATTCAGTCGAAGTATCCCGCCTCAATTTCACGCTGTATTTTATTTCTTTCAGGGAGAGCAAGGAGTTTTTGAAGTTCTTCAGATGCTCAGGGATGAGCTGAAAGTAGCCATGGCTTTATCAGGTTTAACAAATTTGAATTTAGTTAACAAATATATTGATCGAAAAGGGCACTTTCGTACGTTATGCAGTTTTTTTAAACCCTAGTGAGCACATTTAACCACAGTAAACACGAGACTATCTTAAAAAGGCAATGGAATACAATTGTTTGATAACTATTTTTATTTGTCATGAAGTTGGAGAGGAGCTGAATGTTTCAGTTTGAAAAAAAAAATTGTCGGTGAAGTCAGCAATATGTGGCATCAGTCGTGTTGTTCCTTTTTTTCTTAGGATGTGCGTCTCTCAAGGACATTACCCCCTCGCTTGTGACAAGACATACAGCCAGTCATCTCTGAGTGCCGGTCATTCCACCACATCAAGTTTTTAGCAACCATCTCTTTTACTGCAAAAGATTGAGGATTTTGTGCCTGGATGCCAAGTTCCATTACACTTTGTTAACAACGAAATCTGGAGCACTTCAGCTTGATTTCGAATTGGTTTTTACCAAAAAGTAATTTTAGATAGTTTATTTCCGTTCATATATATGGCCTAAAATTTCCGCTTCGCCTAAAGTGCGGCGAAGAAAATAAAGGACGTCCAAGTTTTTCTTTTTCATATTTCCACATTATGCACTTCACTGTGGATTCAATCAAGCAAAATAAAGAATTTTATGTTTTTCTCAGTTAGTGAGCGGGCGAAATTCAACAAATCCTGCAATCTGATTGGTTCCGGGAGCGGGCGGAATTTTCCCATCCAGCCCGCCAGACCTTTACAGAAATATCCAGATATTTGGGGGGATATTTAGAAGTTTCCGAGATATTTAGAAAATATTAAGATCTTTAGAAATTTTAGGGATATTTAGAAATGTTTACAGCTTTTTTTGGCTGAGCCCTGTGTTTTCCTCGCTATTCCCTTGAAACAATACTCAGTTCTATGCCAGAAACATCATCGATTTCCCCCTCAAAAAAATGTATTCCACATCACTAACAGCGCTAACGCAGCAATTTTTAAAAATGGTGGATGCTGGTAGCATCTAAGCGCCTTAATCTCCCCAACTTCCACTACCGCAAGAAATTTTTGAGAATTTTTGCCTAGGTAATTCAAAATCGGTTTATTTTTAACAAAAAATGAGAGATATTTAGAGGGTTTCTCGAGATATTTAGAAAAATTTTTGTGATATTTAGACAATGTTTTGAGAAGTTCCAGAAAGATATTTAGAGGATTATGCGTGATATTTGTGGAAAGACGGCGGGCGGAATTGTCGTGTTGATTTATTTTCGTGAACGAATTGCCGGTAATCGCCTTTTTTACACTTCTACCGACGATTAATCAACGCAAGTTTACCTCTGTTCACTTTTCAATGACAAGGAAAGTCGCGCAAATTCAATTAAGCGTTTTCAAGTTGTGAGAGTTTGTTTGGTTGTTTGCATCTTGGCGCTGTAATGGCGCGTAATCCTGTGCTTCTCTCGCAGTGCAATTTTGAGTGAAAAATGTCTCAATTAAGGCAAGTTTGCTCTATTTCTGTGGAATACACTTGACGAATTTACTCGCTTTCTGCCGTTCCATATATCGTAGAAAAGTCTGATTTCAAGTGACTCGCAACGACTGACAGAAATTGTTTTTGTAGTACAACTTCAAACTTTGCGCAGAAATAATTCCACATTGGCAAAACAATTTTGGAGAACTTAACCGGTGAGCTAAATGCAACTAACATAGAGAAGTTCGAAATAAATCTGTTCTGAGTTTCTCGCTCGTTGCGAAGATTTTCTTACGAATCGTTAGATTCAGAGACAAAGTTGCGCAAACAAACCCATATATAATTAAAGCCAATTTACTGCAGGAAAAAAAAAATAAACATGTTATTTGCCGGCCGGAGGGTCCGTATTGGGAAAGACTGCGCCCTCTGTCTTGAGTACAGGGCGATTACTCAAGACCTCGGGCACAGTTTTTTCCAGTATGGACCTCCCGGCCGGCAAATAACATATATATCCTTCATACACAACTTAACCGTTTACTTGATAGATCCTAAAAGTCAGTCATTATGGTCACCTAGGGCTATGTATGGTTGAGTATGGCGCTATTAAGTGCTATTTACGTCCCCTCGGGGGGTGTCCTCCCAAACGTTTTTGGTGCGTTATAAAGGGCTATATATGGCCACGTAGGACCTTGCACATGCGCAGATTATGACACTGCCCCTTTAATGAGAAAAACGTATCAAGAACTGTTAAATTTCTCATCGCTTACTTTTATTTCAACTCAACAAATTACACCAAATTGTATTTTTTCATAACATGGGAAAATCGGAAACTAAAAAAGCTATTTACATTTTTACAACGCTTAAATATGATTTTACTCATTTTCATGTACGTTTAAATGGCGTGCTTAACAACATGAGCAGCTTCCACTACAGTAGGACCTGACCGCTTGACACGGGGGTCAGACACCGGTACAGCCAGCCTGAAAATGGGAAGGAGGGTACGTTAGTACAGGGAGCAGATGGAAGCTAGATTCCGTACAGGAACCACGCAACTGAGGTGGTGATACAGAACACCAAATCATGGAGCCAACACCTAAAGGCAAAGGAGATGTCTGTGCAACTATGTACTTTGATTTACCATAAGTGAATCTAATCGTTGCCGTTACTGTTTTCTCTTTTATCGCTTGCTCTTCGTCTTGCCTAAGGTTTAATTCCGACGCAGGTTTTTCAGAGGATGGATAATGTAACTGGATAATCCACTAGCCACTGAATAAGCTCGAATGGCGCATTCAGTTTTGTCAACATGTTACAACTGGATGGTAAATTATTCCGGTTGTGGATGGTGCTATACACCTTTGTAACAAACAGCACGAGAAGTGTACGATTTTTATTCACCAAGCGTCTCATGAATTAACTTCAATGCGACACTAATGCAATAAAGCTGAGTGCTAATTTGCAAGGAGGAACATCAAATTGATACCTTGTAGCTGAAGGCTGCTTTTCTCTTGTAACCTATCTGGTAATTGATATCACTTGTGTAGCAGGAAAGTGTTTCCTTGGAAGCTTACCTTACATTAGTTTTGCTATTGACAATAAACAGTGGGTTGTACTGACTAAGGATCTCATCGTTAACTGAAATACCTGAAAATCAAGATAAATACTTCAGAACAAAAACCACACGATTATTTGACTTCAAAGAAATCAACGGGTCTCCACTGGACACATTGTCGATTTGTTGACAATTTCTACTTAAACATTGAGAAAAAAATCACGATATAGTAGAAGTAATAATAATTGCAAAAGTATAACGATCGTTGTAGAACTATTACAGAAGCCAAGAAAAAACAGAATAGAACAAATTAAAAAGAAATAATACTCCAAGACTACTTATACGGTTAACCTCTTGGGGTATAGACATGAACCGCCATTGACTGACTTTCATTTTTGCCTTCTCGACGATAACGATTAAATTTCAACTGATATTAACAACAAACTGTACTCAGAATGTCGGGATGTAGTATGATACCATACGTTAATTACATGCAAGTGATACAAAATTTAAATATTTTTTTAACCATAGCATTAGAATGAATGTTTAAAAAACTACAACGTGTGTAAACGCAAAAGTTAAGGATGACAGTATGTAAAAGCGAAAGTTCTGTTGTAACAAATTTTAAGAAACATGGGAGACACTGTTCTCGGGAATCGTATGAACTGTAGAGAAGCTGGGATCGGCAATGTTCATGTACTTACCATCTAGGTACTGTTTGAGAATAGCTCTGAGTTGCTGGTTTTCTTGAAGAAGGGTGTGTTTCTCTTTATCAAGAGCTAATTTGTCGAGTAAAACCTGCCAATTCAAGAAATACATTGACGAGTTAGCATAATTTTAAAAACTACCGATGTTATTCTGCATCCAATTGTTAGATACAAGGTAACCTGATGCGAAGTTTATTTTATGGGTAATTTGATGATAACCTTTGTTTAACCATACCATAAATTTAACCTCATTTGTTTTCTTAGCTGATATGACTACTCTGTTGATGACTTTGTATATAATTTGGAACATTTAGTCCATGCTCACAACGAAGCATTGAAACTTACATGGTACAAAATGGGGCACTGACAGACAAACAGGATTGACCAACAGTTGTCCTACCTTGTTGTATCTCTTCCAAAAGTTTTCTAGAGCAGAATACTCATGTAGAATCTGAAATAAAATACGTAAAAGAGGATATCTAAGACATGGTTAATCTCACAGTGAATTGAGCCAGCCACCTGCAGAAACATCTTACACAAACTCTATATATTCGCCATGTCAGGAGTTTCAAACTCTCGAGGTGGTGAATGATTACCAGATGGTCGGTGACCCCCTCTTTTTTCCTAGATCACTTCCTAGATCATTTCGTTTATTGATTTTCACCATATGTTGAACAACATGAGAAGTTAAAAATATTTCGCCTTTTCTGCTCTCGTGTGGCCGAAATTTTCATTTTAATGTGGACGAACAAGGCTAATATGTATGCTTTTTCAAGGCCTATTCTAACTTGAAGAACGACAACAGCTGCAAAAGATTACTTAATAAACTTGGCTGTGCTGAATTGAGTACGTTTTCACTAATGTAACTTCTTTCATTGCTGACAGTTGTAAGCTACGATCGTCTTAAAATATCAAAAGCTTCTAAACACGCTGGTCTTATTTCGAACGCGAGCATGGCGAGCCTCTTCCCCATTTTTTCCCTTTTTGGCAAAATTTGATCTTTGCCCTACTGCATGGCAAGTTTTAGAAAAATTGGTACGTAAGAACATTTTGGGCGCGAATGTCCTTGGGCCCCACTCCACTCTCCCTTTGATTTCACAGACGAGAAAATTAAGTCAGATTGTATTACCAGTGCATTTTTACTGACCAATTTAGCCACAAAAAATGAAATAAATCCAACATTGATCCATGAACCATACAAAACTGGCCGGCACTAACACTAAAAATCGTACTAAATCAAATAAGCCCCGCCCCTCTCTCAAATGAGCTTAAATAAATACCCCAAGGATCTAAGGAGGATCTAAGGATCTAAGGATCTAAAGCTCCAAGGATCTAAGGTAGCTCTTAGCTGACAAGAATTTGCCTTCCTTTCATCTTTTCTTTTCGTTTCTGGTATTACTGTTGCTCAAGCTCAAGTGTTTCAGAGGGTGGTGGCAAGGGGAAGGGAGGGGGGGGGGAACGTTTATTCACCTCAGCCAGTGGTTCGGATGGAGCTTCCTGCATAGCAGCGGCCACATCATCATCTTCCTCAGGTGCTAAAGAGGATGCATAAAATGGCAACACCTTCTCTGTCTCTGTTTCCAGTTTCCGGCACATCTCGGCTAGTTTAAGGATACTTTCGCCCTAGCAAAAGAATGAGGAATTTCAGCGATTTAAATAAGTGGCAACTGACATAATTCAATATTCTTCTGCTTCAGCCCGGTATATGTTTTACATGAAAGGGAAAAGTGAAAAAAGAAGTTTGCTATAAAAAACATTTTTTTGTGTTTTAACTAGCATTTAAGATCGACCGCTTGTTAATACTTAAAAATTGCAATTCCATTTGACTGTTAAAATGCCTGTTTTTAGATAGTTACCTTATCATTAGTGCGTTTAAGTTCTTTTATGGCTGCATTGCTTTGAAGTGTCAGCTGGGTTAAACGTGATCTACAAAATAAAACAACAATTTCAAAGTTAGTAAGTCTAATTCAATGGTACTGTCCGTGGTGGTGTGCACAAGGTGGCCACCACCAACACAATATTGAAGCAACTCGATTATGTAAGGTTTTGTTTTTTGTTTTTCAAAGCTCTGTCCTAAGAAAGCAAAATTTGGCCACCCTCTTGTGAAAATTTCTTCCACAGTATAGGTCCCTAAAACCAGTATTATCATATGTTATATTTGAAAGCACTCCATGTGGTATCTCAAAGCAAAAGGACATTACTACTCTAAACTGCTCTGACAGGATACACTGCAAAACATGCCAGTCCATTGCATCACAGCTAGAAGCCACGCACTCTAAATTCCATTGTAACACAAGTGACATGATGTGTGGAAAGAGTTCATATTTAAGTGCACGAAATGCCGAAAAAAGAAACTAATTTCAGTAACAACAAAAGCAAATAAAAAGTTCATCATTAAGTTAATCAACTTTCACATGGCAAAAATTAACAAAACTGTTCTTTCATTCTAGTTTAATGATATGTGACCAATGCAGTCAATGGGGTTCCAAGGTCTTGGCTAGGTATTTGCATAAAACTGCAACACACTTTTCTTTCTTTAATTATTAACCATTATTATTTCACCTCTTAACTGACTGTAAGTACATCCATACACAGCTGGGCTGGTTTGCTCAAAAGCTGGTTAACGCTAACCCAGGATTAAAAGTTAACCGAGGTATTAATGTTTTTCACCTCTTGTGTTTAGTGTAGCTTGATCTCAAAAATATTCTAACCCAAAACTGAAGGACAGACAATGTAATCAGAAAACCTCACCAAAAAGTTACAAAACTCAAAGCAAAATTCTCGCTAATCCTGGGTTAGATTAATTGGGCTTTGAACAACCTGGCCCGGGACAACATGAGCTGGCTAGCTGTTAGAGTAGTATATTTTACAACAATCACTGACACAATTTGACCAGACCATCACAACATGTGTTCTGCAGTGGGATTAGGATCTTTTGGTGGAGTGTGAGAGAGGAGAGGATACTTTGCATGATCTTGTGGGGATGATGAGTAGTCCTTCATCTTTCTTAGGGTTAAGTTGGGTGGTTTTCCCTGCCCCTATGCAGTAATCTGAGTTCACTTTCATCAAAAAATGACTACTGTCAGGCTGTCAAAAAGTCATGTATCAATAATGGGCCTTCTGGGCACTACTGGTACTCTGACATAAACTATTGAATCCTTTGAAACTCAAACACAAAATGTGTTTCTTTAAACCAACACTGTACCTTTCCAAGTCTCTCATCTTGTTCATTTCAGCTTTTAATTCATGAAACTGGGTTGCAACCACCTCCCTTTGCTAAAGAAAAAAAATTGAAGACTGTTGTGTGTTACCCTCATTAAACAAAGCTAATTTATTTATTTATTATTTTATTTAACCTTAATGTTCCTTCTTACAGTGAATCTTCATTTGCAGACATATGAAAACGTACCCTTGAGACTGAGGCAATAGTCATCTTGAGCAAGAATGTGTCAGAATTTCTTTTATAAGGATACTTTGGTCAAAATATGATGAATGATTTGATTGTGATAGCAAACTGTGACCTATTACTGAACAGATGCATGGGAACAAGGAATCTATTTGTTAAACTTTGAATGGCTTTAGTTGCAGACATTGCAGAGTTAGTAAGGCCTGATTTCCGTTTACCACATTCAAATCAACTAGTCATGTCACTGTGATAAAAAATGAAATTACACTGCATTCACTTCAGCTAGTGTGCAGGATTCCTCAGTTACTAGTTTTGTACTGGTATTAAGTTTTAATATATCTCACCTCCTTGATAAGTCTGTTTCTTTCATCGCATTCTTTAGCATTACTTGCCATTTTGGCTTTCAGCTGTGAAATGCTGTCCTGAAAAGCAGGTAGATTTGTTTTAATGTGTACATGTAAATGTTTGGTTGTACAAGGTAAACAATCATGCATCTACTTGCAATACACAATGCTAACTAATCCATGATTTAATAGGTTCACCCCAGCTGAAAGTTCAAACTTTTTCAGACTGATCTATATACTATCTATTTCCCTTGTTACAGTCAAATAAGACCAATGAGCTAAGAAATGGACAGGTCATGGAACAAGTGACCTTTTCTTTTACATTAAAGAGACACTGAACCATTTCTTAATCAACTCTAAAGTTATCTATTAATGTGCAATACATGGACAATTGTTCTACACACTGGGCTATACAATGTAGTTGCCCTTGGAGGATGAGTCCACTCCTAAGAACAGGCAGCAGACAAGGCAGCAGACAAGACTACAACTTTTTTTCCTGTGAGCCCTTGACCCTTTTGAAACTTGCAAAAGAAGTCTGTGAAGGCTAATATGGCTTGCTCAATAAAGTCATGACTGTGAGACCCCTGAAATGTAGCCAAAATTCTGCAGAACACAGCTTTTTTGGTTACAGAGTAGAGAATGCAGTGCTACCTAGAGGCAGTAGAGGCTGTAGAGGCTCAGAAACTCTACGCTAAAATTCTATCATTTTTTGGGACACATTTGTTAAGTGTTGTTATTTTATTTAATAGGCACCAATCATCAAAATGATGTTTTAAAATTGCAAGTCTAAGGATGAACAACTTTTAGTTTCAGTCCTTATGTTCCAGATTAAGACTAGTATATAAAAAATATTATGATACCTGAGTGTATGGTCTCACCTGTATTCTCTGTAGCTTTCTCATTTGGGTTTCTATTTCATAAGAACTCTTCTCATCTTTTGCTTTGAGATTTTCAAAGGCCAATTTTCTTTCCTCTGTTGTTTCATTGTAATTCTTCAGAGCCTATCAAATATTAAAAAGTGACAATAATTTTGACTTATGATTATCATGTAAACCTAATAAAAAAAAGTATTACAAGGAACACCGATCAGTAACTTTACAGCAAACAAATTTGTTTTTTTTTTTCTAATTCTTACTTGCTGAAATTGCCTCCAGAGATCCTCCACTGTACCTTCCAATTGTATTCTCAAAGCATGCTTCTCTTCAAGATTCTATACAAGAAAAACAGAATGAAAGGTTTGCTAAATGCTCATGAATGAAGATAGAGAAGAATGATAAATAAAAATACAGGAAAAAAGCCTTAACCATGCTGTGACTGTGTGAGAGAGAAATAATTACTGCCAGAGAGCATATCTTAAAACTGTTGTTTATTTGTTAAATAATACATTACTTTATTCTTTATTTCATCTCTAAGACTTTGAAAATCTTGTTTAGCTTCATTTTCTAATTCATTCCACTCTTCCTCCATTGCAAACATGATGTCCTGAATATCATGCATCTCCCTCCTCTGCTGGTTTACTATCTTCAATCTAAAAGAAAGATATTTTCAAATAATATATAGCTACATGTATATTTATGTGTTAAGGAGAAGACCTAGTAGATAATGTCTCTTGAGATGGTGAAAATTGTGAAAAAAAAACCCAACCCTTTCAAGATGTAAGAAATTATCTTTTTTTGTAGGCATGGCTCAAATTAGAAGTACCAATTCTACAACAAGAAATTAAATGAACTAACAATGAAACCACAATAACTCCACTGGTGGTCATTTTAGTTTTACCCACTAAAAGGCATGATGGGCAGCCTGAGGGATGCCTTAGTGAGTTTATAAATTTTAGAATTTTCATAGAGGGCATGAACCATTTACCTTTGAATCCACTAAGCTTACTGTGTACCTCCATATAACAGGATGTCTTGAATGCAGCTTTATAGATGCAGTGTGTGTGAATGAGATGTAACTAGTACACTTTGGTTATACAAGTTATTTGGTTCATAGTGGTACAAGCTAATCCTTGTATATTCACCTTTCAGTGTCAAATTCTTCTTTTAAGATCTCTTGTTCTTGATCATACTCATCTTGAGCCTCATGTAATCGTCTCTGTTGTAAATCTAAAATTAAATTTTTCATGAGTAGTTTTTTAGCGGAGCTCTGGCAGCCCAAACCGCCAAGCAAAGCCCCATACTCATATAGGAAAGAAAAGGAAACTCATGAGTTGATTTCCTCATGGTTATCATGGCTAGCAGTATTGCTCGTGGGCATGTACGCATGACGGCGACAGCGATGACAGAGTCGCGCAACATGGCAGCCATACTCCAAATAATAGGTTGACAGAGACATGCAGCCTTGGTTTACCATGTACTTCTTTGGTATTGGACATCCATGTTATGATCACCTGACACCTGTTAAAACAAGGTATCTGCTGACCAGTATCATGTGACCATATCACGGGCTCAAGTTTAGAGCTCATCAAGATCACGTGTTTTTTTATGAAGTTGACCACTGAGCAAGTGCTGGTTTTCGATTGGATCGCAGGCTTATGTCAGGTTAACTTGTTGAAAACAGGGCAGGATTGTTCAGAAGCCGGTTAACACTAACCCAGGATTAAAAGTTAACCGAATTATAACTTTTTCTTCTATACAAATGTTTTTTGCTGCTTTGTTTTGTGTATATGGT